TTGATTGACTAGAGTCACGCAAATTTTAAAACATCACGCAACACGAAAACTCAAAATAGGTCACAAAACACAAAACACATGAAAAGGCTTTTCTTATGTACGTTGAAAACCTTGAAATGGACAACTCGCTAAAATGCGTTCTTTTCATCAAAGTAAACGGTCAGGTAACAAGCAATACGCTGTGGAAGTAAGGTGAGATATTTTTATTGAGAATTTGACGTATGGTTTATTCCTTAGAGCAGTCGTAAATATTCCCATATAAACTCTTATTATTCCGTCACGACTGTTATTGCGCAAGATGATCATCTCACAGCTGGAGCTTGGGCCGCCTGTGAGCCAGCTAATTCAAGAAAACAGAATATTAAATTTTAACTTGTCTGGTCCACTTTACGATGGAAACACATGCACACAAGCCAACTGGGTTTAACCTAGAAAAACGTTTTGAAATTATCACAAGATTCTTAAAAACAGTTCCTTTTGTTTTATCTGTCGTATCATAAGCATTCGTCAGAAGTTTGCTTCTGTCTCGATTTAGGGAAGGGAAAATAAAATCAAATTTCAGAAATAAATGCAAACACATTGTCTATCATAAAACCGTGGCAAAAAATAAAATTTTGATTGCCAACAAAAGAAGGAAAAACAGATTATCGAAAAAGTTCGTAGTCACTACCGCGAATTTTATACTTCAATTTGTCGATGGGATCAGACGAAAATCGACTGCGCAATGTTTCCGAGAAAGCCTGTCACTATTCTTGATTTACATAGGTCACGCAAATCCCTAAGTCACACAAGTTAGGAAATCGTTAATGGATCTAAAATAACGATTCTCTACAAGCAACAGAGTCATTTTTGATATAGGGATAAAAGTCGAACTCACCTTGACGCACAAGAGATGAATTTGTCGTCACTTGGCAAATTAGGTCCTTGTTAGAAGGAAACATCTGTAAAATCACGTGATTTAATTCTCGGAAAACACATGAGGTCACTTGAAAGGGAAAACTTGTCTTACACTTGGTGCCTCGTACCTTACACGAACGCATTCACTTGTGTTGGAATAAGAGTAAGCTCGCCTTTACCTAAATCTTCAAAATGGGGGTAAGTTTTACAAGAATTTTCCTTTTTTACAACAACTTCCTCTGCAAGTTTTGGCTTATCATTTCCTTTCACCGGTGCTCGAAATGTGAATCTAAAATGTTATGTTATTTATGCGGGTGAGCTGTGACACTAATATCAATCCTTCCAAATAGATCTTTTTCTTGTGAAAAAAGATATCAAGTACTGGATTAGCTCTCGGCTAACGATACAAGCCGAAAGTTTAACCTTCGCTGAGGTAATAATTTTAAACATGGGCAAACTCCGGGGAAAAATTGCCGTTGACTCAACCGAAATCTTCACAGGAGAGATTTTAAGGTTGTTCGCTTCTCGGAAACTGAAAGTGAATTCTCTCTACACATCGATTTCTGAACTTTCAATTTCGTGAAAAGAAATAAAGCCAAGTTGCATAAAAGAGAATTTTGAAAAGAAAGAACGAGAATTGACAAGTTTCGCTGGAAGAATTTGAGTTCGTGAATTCAAATCGCGGTTTCTTCTCACTTCCTGTAACTTCCGGGCAAGGAGAAAAATCGTATCTTCCACTTTCGAAGCTTTAAATCCATCTCATTCTTAAGAAAACGTATAAAAAAGCTTTCTGACCGGGTATAAATTCCTAATTTAAAAATATTTGATCCACAATAACTAAAAAGAATAACATTTTAACATTCCACTAACTCAGTCCCCGAAATCATCGTATATCAGCATTGCAAAGTGAAAGCAAGGAAAGGTAAATTATCTTAAAAGGTTTCATTCTCCGGTTTACTTGAACAGTTAGATTTACAACATCTTTACCACTTGCAAAGGGAGTTTTATGCTCTATATCTTTCTTTGATAGCCCGGCAGAACGCAATGCTCTGCATCCGTCGATGAAAAAAAGCGACGCACAACATTTCTAAGAAAGCCTTTCAGTTGTCTTGATTGACTAGAAACACGCAAATTTTAAAACATCACGCAACATAAAGACTCAGAATAAGTCACAAAACATCTATCCCAGTCGATTTCCACCGAAGATAGCGGCAAGCATTAAGCAATCTTCCCACTTCATGAAAGTGGTCAATGTAAATGAGAAAAAACCTAATTTAAATGGTTTAAATTCTAAGAAAAACCCGTGTGGTCATTAGGAAGGGAAACTTCCCATCGTGCATGAGAGAATCGACATATTTAACGGAGGTGTGAGACTTTTCAGTCCTGAGTTTTATTTCTGCTTGGAAACCAGCAAATAGCGAGTAAATTTATGATCTAGTTACGAGTGATATGATCAAAAGACGTAGGAAAAGCCTCAAAGTCTCGCTTCTCCTCTCGACTCTGACTCAAAGTAGTGATCTAAGTGATGATCTAACTCTGAGCGACTCTTCTACGTAACTCTGATCGACCCTCCTTCTTCGATCTCTATGGTACAGGCTTATATATTCACTATTAGTAAATAGGCATGAGTGGGCATGCTGGCTAATTGACTTTTTTAGATTAAACAATGTTGTCAGAACGCTTACACAAGAATCTCAAAAATAACCAACAACATAATTGTGCTTCCGATCAAACGATCAATCTTCTGTTGTGTTGTTTGTGAGTCAAACTACTACACGTGTTCTACAAAGTACGCCATCTTTTGTTCTATCCCAGAATCCTCTTGTACTTACATATGTCATGTAAGCTAACACAACAGTCACAATCAGGGAACTCACTGTGATAGCTAAAACGAAACTAAGTTCGGACTTTGAACTCAGAT